AAGTCCCACAGGATCTTAGCCCTGTTATTCTCCACAACTTTCTGTGGAATCTCCCATCTGGACTTAGGAGGGTCTAGCCCTTACACTGTGCAGATGTTCCTGTACATAATGCCAGCTACTTGGTTGTGCCATTCAGTGTATGCTGTTCCTGCCTGCATCTGGTCTTTTGTGGGATATGTTTGTATTCTTGTTTGCTTAGTCTCAGACTGTAATAATAAAAATCATTCATTCATTCATTTACTGCTTCAGCCCTAGTTAGCTGACATTCATTATTTGACCATATCTCTTGATCTGAGCTAGGCAAAGTCAGCTGTCATAGTGACAAACGCTACTTCAGCCCCAGTTCACTCTCACCCATTATTTTACAGTTATAGCTGTAAAAATTATCATCAACCATGTTATTGCAATATTTTAAGTCCTTATAACTTAATTAATAAATGTAATAACAGAATGCCCGTGTTCTTCTTGGAAAAGGAAAGTAATATATATAGTTTTGTTTGTATTTGGTAGAACCCAGTCCTTGATGATGTTTGATGGGTCTTGAGATGTGAATGGCTAAGAACCTTTGTACACTAGATACATTACAGTACTAATTCAATTAGGTATCCAAGCATTTGCAATAGCAGAAGGAAGGAGAATTCATTCTGGTTGCTTTTTCTGGCATCTGTTGATTAGAGCTGTGTTATACTTTGGTTCCAAAGCTTAGAAGGTGCTTTGGAACAGGCATGGGCAGCATACATGCTGCATTTATTGGTGCCACCTTAAAAATGCTATGTCTTTTCCTGGGCTCTCCTGGTTCTTTGGAGCAGGTGCAAGTATTCAGTCAGCGCTTCCTTAACACAAACCTGAAATTTCTTGGGATTGTGTAGCTATTGTTGGAGCCTAGGAAAACACAGTTTCTTTAAAGAGGTACCAACAAATATGCAATATGTATCCATGCCCACACTAAAGCAATTTTTTGGCTTTGCATCTGAAACACAGCACTGATATTGATGTCTGTAGAGAAGGCCAGAGCTGGCCCTCACTTCAGATGTCATTAAGACATATGAAAGATAGGGCACCATACTGCATTAATCTGCAGTTGAAAAACTTGTTATGACAGTCATACGTTCCTTATGAAGACCAATAGACTACTGAATGGCCAGAATAGGTAAGAGTGAGGTAACAAGCTGGCTCACTGTCAGGATGGTAGCTAACATAATAATGTCTGAGTTAGAAAACCCTAGTTAAATACTTAATTCCATTTATTTTTAATAGTCTGTATAGATTCTTTTTCTCTCTCTGGATGATCACATCAGTGTTACAGTATGGAGCATGTTGTATGCAGAATTTGTTTCATCTCAGGAAGCAAAAATATGTTAAAATGATCCTCAAAAATAAAATGTTAAATTTAGGTTTAAGTGGTCTTGGTTCACATTACTGCTTAGTCATAAATTACACTGGGTAATCAGCTCTTCTCAGCTTAAACTGTTTCTCAGAGTTGACATTTTATCATCCATTTTCTCTGACATTTCAGTACAAACCTTGGTTTCTGATGGTCTATGGAATTGCTGCCTGTTGGTTTCTACTGGGGTCCAAAGGATTGACTATGATTTTTCTACATGTGAGTGTCTCGTATTTAGTAGCCCAATTGAAAAATCCAGTCCTTACATGGTTGACTTCCTTGCTTCTGTTGTCAACTCTGCATCTATCTGCCATAGAAGAAGTGAAGGTAATTATATTTGTAATATTATTTTTTTGTATGTTTAAATAAGTTATTTTGTAAAAGTTTGGGATTTTGAAGAATTTAGAGCAATCACACTTAGAGTACGTTATAGTATTCTTTGAATGTATCTTCCTTAGAAATAAGATATATATGTATG